ACACCTTCAGATTACGGTAGTAAAGCAAAGAAAGGATCACCACATGGAGCTGTACTTATTTTTTATAGTCCACATACAGAGCAAAATGGAAAATACATTGCTAAATAGATAGCTAAACTTTTTATTATTAGCATTCTGAATTTACATACTTATCTGAACAGAATCCAGATTTTAACACACATTTATACAAATATTTATTCTCTCAGCTTGGAAATTCCCACATATGTAATTATGATAACTTTATGATCACTTCATCAGAATTTAGGCAGAGTTATCCCAGAATTTCTGGTTAAAAGAATAACATAGTCAAGCTTCAATCTGGGTTATACTTTTGAGCCAAGCTGTAGAAGTTAATCAAGGAAAGGAGCTACCCATTTAATCCAGTTATAGTCAGTGTGACTTCAAAACCTTTTAGGATTACTTGCCTTACTTTTCAAAATAGATTTTGAACAGTCAAAACTTCACCTAAGACATTTTAAAAAGAAGTCTAGTAACCAGACCCTTGGACTGCAGTCTAGCTGGGAAATGACGCTATAGGAGATGGAAATACTCTACACTTGTTGCCTCAACATTTGATTTTTTCTGTATCTTTGGTCATCAAAACTTCTAAGCACACAACTAACAATCTCTTTTTTTATATATCTCGTCTTCTTTATCTCTTCCAATAACCCTGTTGTCATGCTTTGAAACTTAATCTAGTCACAATGCTTTGCTGTAACTATCTTCAGACCCTTCTTTTTCAAATGTATATATTCTCCCTCTGAGTGAAAAAATGTATTGGGCTGGGTAACAACATATACAAGGTGCAACACATAAATTACATTATATTGCCAATGCCTTCTATATAAGTGTTGCCTAAGAAAAAGAAACAACTTTTCATTAATAACAATACAAAACAGAAGAAGTGGATACTGCCCTAAGTCAGTATTGTAACATTCTTTCTTTTTTTTTTTAAATATGGTGTCAAATTTAATTAAGTCTTAGCTGCTTGCAGGTGGAAGAGATATACTCAGAATCTTCCTGATCCAAGCACTGAGGCCCAGGATGGTTCAGGCTCAGATTTTCAAAACCTTCTGTACCTTTTGTGTGTGTGTACATTTATCACATCCCCAAGGCAGTAGCACATGGACAGAAAAACACTGATCCAACCTAGTGTAACTCAGAAATAGTTTATTGAATTAAGGGGGGGAATAAAAATCACGGAAAGGATACACATTTCAAGAGGATCTGCAAGCATTTCTGATTCAGAAAAATGGATTCTGATGGTAAAGAAAGGATCAACAACTTTCTCTCATGCTGACAATATGTATTTATTGTCATTTTGAAAATAGGTTACCATGTGTATATCAGGATTTCAGACTAAAAACAATCAGGTTATGAACTCTTAGCATATGCCAGTTGGAAATTAAAGGACTGAATGCAAAGCTGACTTTTAGAAGATCTTCAGTTGTCTATTTTGTATGTCCCTCCTTTTTCATTTGTAAGCAAAAGCTGAACATCTTCCCCTCCCCTTTTCATTTCAACCTCATAAAAATAAATGATAATCTAAATGCAGCTTTTCCTAGTTTTACTAATCATCTGGCAATTTCACATTTCTATTGCTGATTCTAAAACTTCAGAAGGAAGCTAACCTTGACAAACCATGTTCTTCCTCCACCTGGATACTGCGTCCAACTTCCAAGAACTAGACTTAGCACATTAAAGATGTACTTGGATTAGACTGTTGCAGTTACATTTTTATGGTGCAAACCTTCATCATACATGCTTTGCTGCTCCAGAACAAGCTGCATCAGTGCAAGATCTGATCATCTGTGCAAAAGAAGCTGCAGTGCTACAAACTCCTGAAATAACTTTCCTCTCCCTCTCCCATTTATTAAGAAACATCTTACTCTCACTACTTTCACCAATTCCAAATGCTGCCCAAAAAAAAGGAGAAAGATGAAGATATTTCATGCTTTTATACAAAAAATAAAAACCCCAACTCAAAAAAAATATCATTCAACTCTAATCCCCCCACCTCAAGAAAACCCACATCAAAACTGTTTGTTCCCCACCCTCTTCTAGCTCTTATATATCACCATTAAAACAAATGCATACAACTTACTGTACAAATATGAAGCTGCAGGCATTCAAATTACATAACATTCTGAAAATATTTCAAGCATAAAAAGTACACTTAATAATTGCAAAAATAAAGTTTCACTTTTTTAAAAAACGTTTTGATCAGACCTCAAGCAAAACAAACATTTAACAATTGCTACTTCAGATTAACTTCATAAGAACACCACCTTCAAAAGGTAATAACAAAAAACTCAGTTTTTTGCCAATAAAGTAACTGAGCATGTATTTTAATGAAATGGTATATACAACGATGGCACAAACCTTAAGCATCAAGAACATATTTCAGCCAAAAAGTAAGTCTACAAGTGATCTGAATCATTCATAGCATCAAATGGTACTGATTACTAAGAACCATAATCTGCTAGGAACAAGCATTAAATTTGACTACTAAAAATGGAAGGGAAAATGCATGACATCAAATAAGCTCAGGTTTTGCCACTGAACTTTTTTTTAGGCTAGGTCCTTGTTTGGGCCAGCACAGAACTAATTTTCTCTTTGTGATTTTACTTTTCAATTAAGTCCTTTTTAAGTAGCTGCAGCTGCTGAAATTAACAGCTTGTTTTCCAGTCACTGTCTGCCTCTAGGATTGATAACACTTGATGTTTTTAGTTAGGGCAAGAGAATGGCATGTAGAACCAAGGCCACTGCCTGGGTCTGAATAAAATGTTAGGAAACCCCAGCCCCTCCAGCTAGTTAGGTTACCTTCAGTGGAGGCCCAGCTGAAATGCCTCTATGCAAACACACATATCATGGGGAACAGGAGGAGTTAAGAGATGCTTGTGGACTTGCAGGGCTGTGATCTTACAGGCATCACAGAGACCTGGTGGGATGGCTCCTACTCCTACAACTGAAGTGTCAGAATGGAGTATTACAGACTCTTTAAAAAGGACAGGCAGGGGAGATGGAGAGGGGGTGTTGCCTTCTATGTCTAAGACCAGCTGGAGTGCATGGAGTTCTTCCTAAGGACTGACAAGGAGCCAACTGAGACCTTATGGATTAAGATTCAAGGGAAGGCAGGGACAGGGGACGTTACAGGGGGGGGATCTGCTACAAGCCACCTGAGCAGGAGGACAAGCATAGATGAGGCACTCTACAGACAGATAGGAGCAGCTTCATGTTCACAAGCCATGGTACTCATTGGGGACTTCAACCACACCTCTTGGATACCTCTTGGAGGGACAACTTCGCAAAGCACAAACAATCCAGGAAGTTCCTAGAGTGTGTTGATGACAACTTCCTTTTCCAAGTGATTGAAGAAATGAGGAGAGGTGCTTTGCTGGACATAGTTCTCATCAACAAGGAAGGGCAGGCTGGTGAGCCTGGTGTTCAAGGATCACATACCCCAGGCCCAAAAATGATGCATGCCAACTAAGACCAAGTCAGCTAAAAACTCCAGGCCAGTGTGGATGAGCAAGCAACTCCCAGAAAACCTCAGACTTAAAAAGGAAGCATACAGAGGGTGGAAGCTATAGCAGGTACACTGAAAGGATTACAGAGAGGTTGTTGGAGCAGCTAGGGATCTGGTAAGGAGAGCCAAATCCCAGACAGAATGAAAACTCACCAGGGAGGTAAAGAGCAGTAAGAAAAGCTTCTATAGTTATGTTGGGGATAAAAGGACAACCAAGGAAAATGTAGGCACTCTCCTGAAGGCAATGGGAGACCTAGCTACACAGGATATTGACAAGGCTGAGGTTCTCAAGGACTTATTTGCATCAGTCTTCTCTGGTAGGTGCTCCAGCCTCATCGCAAAAGGCCACAGTAGGCAAAAGGGACTGGGACAATTAATTACTCCCCACTGTAGAAGAACAGTTCATGACTATCTAAAGAACCCAAAGTTGCACAAGTTGATGGGACCTGATTGAATCAATCCACAGGTCCTGAGGGATCTGGAAGATGTAGTTGCTGAGCCTCTGTCCGTCTTATTTGAGAGGTTATGGTGGTGTGTGAGGTTCCCGCCAATTGAGAAAAGTAACATAGCTCCTATAGAATCATCCTGGTTGGAAGGGACCTTGCAGATCATCAAGTCCAACCATAATTGATTTTTTTTTTTTTTCAAGAAGAGAAAAAAGACCTGGGGAACTACAGGCCAGTCACTCTAACCTCTGTGCCCAACAAGATCAGGGAACAGATCCTCTTGGAAAATCTGCTAAGGCACATGGAAAGTGACTGGTGTCCGCCAGCTCATAGCAGGGAAGCTGGAACCTGATGATCTTTAAGGTCCCTTCCAAACTTAACCATTCTACAATTCTACGATCTAGAACCAGAAAGGACTATGGGGTCACACCTGAGACCCTTCTTCGAAGAGAAGCAGACCAGACAGGTTAACAAAGTTAACCAAACAAACAAAGCATCCCATGCCATATACATTATACTGGATATTAATCTGAGGGATGACAAAGGTGCTTACTCTCTTCATCTATAGATGGCATCCCTCAAGGACTCCAGCCATGTATCTGCCTTTTATCCCAAACTCTACATTCCTGCACCCCAGCTCCCATCTGCCCCTAACTCCAGGAGTCTAGACCAGGACTTGTCCTGGGCCTGCCCTGCAGCCTCAGTGGTGATATGGATGTTATTGGGGGGTGTGGGGAGAGCATGATAGTGCTTTTGTGTATGTTTATATCTATTTCATTACTTTTCAGTTTAATCACTACTGTCTCATTAAAGCTGTGTAGTTCAGAATCCAACCTGTAAGAGTCTCTCTCCCTTACCCCCTCTTTTCCCCACAAGGGGAAGGAAGGGGGTTAACACAGAGCATCTGTCCTTCATTTAATTGCCAGCCCAGCATTAAACCATGACGAACAGTTTCACTAAGTGCAAGACCATATGTTTACCTGATGAAATGAAAACTCATGTCACAATTTAAGAACACTCATACAAAACTATTTTTTTTCTTTTATAAAAGTGCCACATACCATACTTGTACTAAAAAAAAGTTACAAACTAATGGAAGACTGTCTGCCTCCATCTTTTATCAACAAGGAAAGGCCAAAGTGATTCTTTGATCCCAGCTCGAAATGGTGTTCTCTGACCTATCCCCAGCATCTCCAACTTGGAACAGTCTAGCTGAGCATTCCTTGGACGAAGAGCACCCACAACTGGACAATCAGTAATCTAAAAAATAAACATTAAAACACACAAAGTCAACAGAAATCACAGAAAACTGTTTCTTCTTATATATGCTAAACTTCAAGTTTTCCTTCATGGCTTTCTATATAGTATGTATTTCTCTCTTCCAACTATTCTGTGTGGGGTTTTATTTTTGTTTGGGTTTGTTTGTTTTATGGTTAACTGTATTTCAACCTAAAAGATGTCACAAGAGTGACATCAAGTGAAATTTTTTTCACTCAATTACTGCTTACCTTTAATGCTTTTCTATGTTTTATTCTTATTTTTACCTGATGACTGTAGTCACAAGGTAAAAAATGTTCTAAAATGTTGACAGAACCATGACTTGTTCAATATGCTTGCAGAAAAATAGATTTGGGCAGAAGAAGTTCAGACTAACTTAGCATTCTCCATTCTTTTTTCTCTCCATCTTCCAAGCCAGATTTCATTTCCAGACTTTACTAGTTCAGAATCCTTGGAATTCGTTTTGATATGAATAGAAAGTTATTAACATGTTACGTTCTCACAACATCGGTATATTTAAGAATAGCCTTAAGTGTCGATAAAACCACAGGACAAGTGTTACAATTACCTTAAGTAATTGCAAAAATTACCTTAAGTTGTTAAGTGAATGTATTCAGAAATAAATCTGGATATTGACTGGTTCTTAGAGATTCCTACCTTCAAGTTTATGTTGTGTCAACTTCTGTGCTTTTTTAAGAAAAAAAATACAACCACAGATATGCATTTTACTCATGACTCATCAAACTGTTCTGCAGAAATACCAAAATTACACTCCAGACTGCCATACTGGTTGCTGACTGACTGGGTAATTTTTCTAACTCAGCGGGTAAAAACAGCTACTGTTTTCCTGGGTAAGATACCAGGCAGCAGCATCAGCAATACATCTGCTGTGCTGAACACCCACACTGACCATCCTGAAGAAGCAGCTCATTTGTGTTGTTAGTATGAGACCTACTACATGAAATGATAAAGCACAACCATCTTTCTACAGAATGAGCAACATATCACTTACTGGTCTCAGGTGGCTGCTGGGAAGGTTGAAAGCATCTGCAATTGCACATGCCATTTCATACTTGGTCATCTGTTCATTGCCAGACCAGTGAAATGTTCCTCTTACTGATGGGTCCTAGAGAAGAAACGGGTATCACAGATGAAAAAAAGCAGCTAGCCCTGAGACTAACTCCTGTGCAAGAACCGTGTGGAACCATCTCCTAGCAAGGTGCTATCCTCAAAGGCAGGTTACAGCACTACACTGATGGTCTAAAGTCGTCTCCTGCATTTTCAGAGAGCACATGTCTAGGGATTGAAACTGAAAACTGGTGTTACATGTATTCAACCTGATTTTTCACAAACAGCTTCTGATCTGTAGAATAATAGGAGGGAAAGGAGCAAGGCAACCAATGAACCAAGGTCAAATAAGTGGGGAAAAGGAATTTGGCATTTCTATACTATTCACTTACTTAAAAACAAACGCAAAATACCACAGACATTCTGAATGTTAAACTGCAAACCACGTACAAGTCCCATCAAACAAAGTGATTCAAACCACATCCACCAGACTTGCATGCTCCTCTTTTTTTCCAAGTTACATGTATGAAAAATAAAGGTGGTTGGTTGGTCTTGTTATCTTGCAAAGGTAGTAAACTGAAGATGCTGTGGTGAATAAACATGGTATTTAAATCTAATAGCTTGGTTTTGCCGCTCTGGTGTTTTTAATACAATCAACAAGGGCAGCTTTGAGAATTACATTCAATCACCTTGGGGTTTTTTTTAGTCCAAAACATTAACTTGCAAAAGGCTTATCAGAGTAAATTAGGTATTTGCATTTCTCTGCTGTATTCTGAGAACATAAGATGATTTTCTCAAGTATCTGTCGAATCACTCCCCTCATTTTTGTTTCAAATATCAGAATATCCACACACTGTCATGTGAAGATACTGAAGTATTACAGCCTTTTCTCCCTCCCAGTGTTTCAGAAATTGAATTAATGATGCAGGTTATAGACCATTCTCAGTAATTCAGAAACAAAGCCAAGAACTGGAGCAGTTTTTACCTTGAACATGCTCGTTTATTTTAATTCTTACCAGCATTCTCTTCTCTGCCAGTTGTCTGCAAACAGTTGCTACATCCTTGACATTAGTAGGAAATCTTTGTTGCCAGTGGTCCATGTTGGCAGATTTATTACTGAACTGCACTTTATCAAACATAACAGTCACAGCACTTTCTTCCAGTCTTTCTACCTCTCCATACAAGACAGGAATCCTAAGTACTGCAGCATCTAAAAGAAAGAATATTTTACAAGCATTAGTATTGTGTATGACTGGTATGAATGCTGTAGCATCACCTGAGAAGAGGTTTGGAAGTGTTAAGAAATACGTTGATGATCCTAAGCATCTACAAATCACAAAGAAAATGCAATTAACATGTTTGCCCTCAGAGTACAATTTTCATTCATATAAATTCAAAGTTTATAAATACTCGTATTATATGAACTTATTTTTATTTATCCCATTAATCTGAAGAAATTTAACAAGCTTTCATTAAAAACTCAAGAGAAAAAAAGGTGGTCTGTTTGGGTTAGATCAGAAATTTTATATTTTAATTTTAATTAAGAAAAACCTATGCAGTTACTCCAGCACTCACCATCCTCCCCGGGTAAGAATAAAAATGCCCACCAATCACAGACTATCATATTTAGGTATCAATTAGAGACTAAGATAGTTCGTCCAGCATGCAGAAGCCTCCTGTATAAAGGAGGCTTTTATTTACCAGTAAAAAAAGACATGAAGCTTGGAATGAATAAACAGCTTGCCAAATGAGAAATAGATTCACAGAATACAGCAGTATTAGACTTCAAAACAGTGATTTAAGAAATTAAAATGACAGTAAACAAGTGCAAAGAGAAGGATATTTTATGATGGAATACATACTACTAGTCTACCTCAGCCATGAAGACTCACAAGGCCTCTTTGAGGGGGAATCCAACAAGGCTATGACAAAGTCATTAAAGGTAATACAGCTATTTATGCTTAAAGCAAAAAAAAAAAATAAATAATAAAATCAGTCCTGAAATGAGAAGTGGAAGTCACCAAGTAATTGCAATTCTTCGTATGAAAATGCTACAGTTATTGGAAAGACAAGAAAAACTAACACAGACTCTATTACCATGGAAAACTAAAAGAAGTACTTGCACAAGAAAAACAAATTAACAATAAAGATCCTAACATTACACTGATATTCTGACACTCTAAAAGCAGTTATTTGGCTGGTCAGCAAACAAAGTCTTCCTCTCTTTAAATCCCGGTTGAAATAACTTCTAAAAATGTCTTTGGATGTATTAATTATTTGAAAAAAAGACAGCCTGCCTTTTGTTCTCAGAGAACTCTTTTGAGACTTGGAGAGCATTACCTTCATTGCCAAATGTTCTGAAACTACTGAAGCTTTAGTTTTATAAGCACAAGTACTAAATATAATTTGTATCCCCTCCTAACTGAAGTGAAATATGTATTTTAAAAATATACAAACCCCCCAAATTATTAGTGGAGGTTCTTGTATTTTGAAACAGGAATGGATAGGAAAGTTCTACACACAACTTCAGACATTTGATAGAATGAATTCTACCTATGCAGTATTACCAATGTAGTGGTTAGAAGACTAATACATGTCAAATATTTGCATTTGTAGGAACCACTAGAATTGACATTTTCAAGGACCTTTCTCAGCAACACCTCGAAATTCCATCTGCTAATAATATCACTGCTTCAACCCACTACTGCCTGACAGATCACGCTCAAAATGTTTAGGAAACAAAACAGAAGCATGGAGTTGGAGGAAGGATCTAGCAAGATACCCACATGTGCTTGAATTTGGTGCAGTCTTATCTTCATTACCAATCTGGAAGAGGGAGCAAACAGCATCACAGTCAAATTCAGAGATGATATTTAAGAGGTGGAGCGAGATTTTCAACTCATTTTTACTTAAATAAGGTTTTTCCTATCACACTATTTTTTTAGAAAGTCTAGTTCTTATTAGCAATGACAAACTTCTCTTAAGGCCTATTATTTTCAAATATATTATGTATTTACTTACTGAAAAACTCTAACACTAATTTATTGACTGTTCCATTCTCGTTAAGCAGAACAGATTCACAGTGTGAGTATCACACTGGCATATCAGAAGCCTCATCTGCAAGTGCTCCAAGGGAATTTTCCTCAAACTCATTGAGAAAATAGAAGTGTTTCTTTCTATAGAACCTGTGAATGGAAACTGGCAGTGTACTAGAAACAAAAATTCTCTTTTATACAAGAAATAGGCTTTAAATGCAAGGGAACATATTCAGTCCCAAACTTTTTCCCCTATTAAGCTGAAATTTTTAAATCATGCTTGTATGTTTTGAATGTCAATTTTAAATAGGACAACACTTAAATAAGAAAGAAAAAAACCAAACTTGCTTACTAACAGAAATATGTTACTAACCCTTTAACAAAGTGTTCCAAGAAGCAACCTGATACGTGTTGTAAGCTAAGTGGGTAAAAATAAAGTGATGGCCTGATGGCTTATGTAATAAAAGCAAAACAGGAGATCAGCAAGAAAACCAGAGATTAACAACAAAAGCCTATGCACTGAATTGCAAGTTTTTTTTTTCCCTTTAAGTTAACACCTGCAGTGCAGCCCCATTAACAACAGCAGCTCTAGGGCAGATGTGGCAAAACTTCTGGCATTACAGGATATTGATCCTTCCCTTAGGAACAGTTGGTTCACAGTAGACAAAGGTTTGTGACCATCCATCAGCAGAGACTAGTATCACAAATGAAAGCTGGAATTAAGAAATAAAGCTTCAGTCAAGCCCTAAGCAGCAGCACTCATTTCAGCAAGGAGAGTGACTCTTCATCACATTCTTTTCTACATCTCACTTCAGTGTTTTTCCAACTTCACTTCTCACTTATTAATCTATTAAGCTAATATACAATTAAGTAAAAAGAGCAAGCCTCTATTAAACATGTGCAAGTCTAGTCTTACCTTCATTATTCTCCAGGACTGCCTTTTCACCCTCCAGTTTGGTTTTACCATATAAGTTCAGGGGATTTGGTACATCAGTCTCTTTATATGGAGGGCTTGTTCCATCAAACACATAGTCTGTACTAATGTAGATCAGAAATGCTCCAACTCCAGCTAGAAAGAAAATATTTATAAATACTCTGTTTTAATTCATTCCTTGTTTGCAATCCAAATAAACCCTTAAAGAAATCTCCAAATTAACTTATCTTCCAGCTCCAGTCATTCTCATTGCCTTGTTTGTTCACTGATCCTTCACACAGACACCCATGCTACCCTCACAGAAAATGGATGGACTGCACACTGGTCACAGAAGTGACATTCAGAATTTTGAGGAACTTATTTATCTCCCTGTATAAATAAATGCAGTATTTTAACAAGAAACCAAATGCATTACGTGGTCTCCTTACCTGCCTCTTTTGCTAAGTTCCCTGAAGCAGCCACATTGAGCTGAGAAGCAGCATCTGGTTGACTTTCTACAACATCTGGCCTTCTTTCTGCAGCACAATGCACTATAACATGAGGCTGGAAATTAAAGACTCATTTTAAACAACAAACACTGTCAGGAGATTGCAGGTGCACCCTAACAATAGCAAAGTCCCTCAGGCAAAAAAGCATTTCACTAAGTTGTGGGAAGCAATTAAAGTAGTAGCATTATTTTTAATCATGGCATTCTGAGCAGCATGTTCACCTTAGCAAGTAAAATAGAATCGCGCTGCTTCAAGATACAAAAAATCATTAATTTTGCAATTATAATTTTCAGTAGCTTAAATTTTACAGCAAGATTGAAGCTGTTGAGGGTTTTTTTTTAACTCTGTAGAATAACATGAGATACAATAATAGTATGGCATGTATATCACACACACATAGTAGTACTTAAAAAAGAAACATTAGCCAAACTGTTCTTAGGTAAGCCATTTACACATGGCTTATTTGACAAAGGTAGACTATTAAGAAGATACTTAAAGCTATTGTATAGAATGGCGCCTAACATAATATATTGCAGGTTTCATGTATCCTCCCTGCAATTTATGTTGCCACACTGTATGCTACACATACAGCTAGTGCTGTTGTAAGCAAGTATTTTTCAGCTTCAAAAGAACTGGTTCAGATTACCACTTTTTCTTTCAACTATCAATTCCAGTGTGCTTAAATGTACCTCTGTTACCTGCACTCTATTTATGGCGATGACAGCACAATTCCACCTGTACCTACAGAGCAAGCCTACACTCCAGGTGCGGCAGAAAGGGCAGCCAGGAATTTTTCGACTCTACCAAAAAACTCATCACACAAACGACACATGAAATCAGTACCAGTACAGCACTATCAGCTGATTACCAGACACATCAAGCACACTATCCATCTCCTTCATACTGTAGAAACTTACCTGAAAATCATGGATAATATCATGAACTGCAATACAGTCCAGAAGATTAATCTGTTCAAATCTAGGCTGAGCTCTTCTAAATCCACAGCCAACTGCATTCCAATTATTTTCCTTAAATTCTTTAAACACAGCTCTGCCAAGAAGTCCCGTAGCACCAGTAATCAAAACTCGCCTACTGGGAATATCAACATCTTCCTAGAGAAAAGAGAACAGGAAAAGTTTTCTCTCACTATTATTTATTACTGCTTTTTCTTTAAAAACTCTGCAAGGCTACAGTCCATGATCCTGCATTAAAACAGCTTTCCTTGCCACATGGGTGTTTTGGAGTGTCTCATGGAACACAGACATCTGGAAGTAATGGAATTGTACCTACTCAAGTATTTCAACATATTTTTTAAGATAATGAAAACAAAACTTAAATAGGAAACTCACTTCCACAGCACAAGAAGAAAGTAAATTAAACCACTAAATGAGACAGCAGTTTAAGTTCAAAATCTGACAACTTTGTACAATTTGAAGTGAGGGAAATAATTGATTTTGAAAGCGGACCCAAATCATGTAATATTTAGGGTCCACATCCTGCAACAAAAATTTTTTGACAGACTGTACCTGTGTGGTATTGCAGCAGCATAACTCACTGTGGCCCTGCCTATAATGACTGCAAAAACTGAAGACCTGAATTTTACTTTTAATAGAATAGTAATTCACAGTTATTCAATGCAATAGTCTAATAATAAGTAAAATCAGGTCACAGCTCTCCTATCAGTTTCACAAAACCCATCTCAAAGCGTTTTGGTCATTTAAGCTCTCAATCTATACAACATGCTAAAACTTAAGTTACCACACATTTCAGTAGTTGTGTGTAGTAGTTCACACCAAGTTAGTTCCTCTCCACCACTACTAGACTATCAAATGTTCTAAACAGCATACATCAGATGCAGATCTGTCTGTGGAATCTCCTTTTTTCCTTTCATGCTTTCCTCTTGCACTTATAATTAACAAGAGCCTGCTAAAAACAGCATTAAAAGCATATGCTTACATGCCAGTACAGAACAAAACTTCAGGTTTGCAGAACCCATAAATCTTGGACTGCCTGACCAGTTTATACACAAGGACCATTTGTGATAATTTATTAGAATTATGTAAATGCAAATCAAATAGCCCAGTTACTACTCAGCATTCTTACATTTTTCAGCATTGTAACAGATTGCTACTTTTTGATTGCAGCATAGGAAGCAACAGAATTTTTTTCCTAATTACTGTGTTTCACCCCTGAATTTAAAAAGCTTTTTTTCCATAAGGGTATATGCAGAGGTGCACAGACTATTGCTTCAAGTTCCCAGCACATTGCATTCATCTTCCTTAACTCCCAATTTTCAGGCAGAAGATGACTTATCCCCAGCAGTACTAGACTAAAATTATTATTTTTCAACTGGACAGGTTCCTGAAAATGACTAATTAAAGCAAGTGATGTTTTAATAAGTTATCTTTACAATCAATTTGACCTCAGAACACAAATTTATTTCCAGTATTTTAAGGCTGCCTATTTTACTCTGAAAAGCATAAGCAAAATTTTTGTGTGATGTAGTTTTTATCCCAGCAAAGTCTGGCTGGGGTGCCACAGGACAGATTCTCAGCACTGAAATACCTACTAATAAACATCCAGGACTTGTTGCAGAAAATAGAATTGAAAGATTCTCTAAAATGGTCACATCTTCACTAAGTAGAAAGTGACCAACACAGAAATATGCCTAACTTGTAAAATATTATATTTTTAAGCACCATTCCTCTCAGGTTTTCTTTTATTCTACACATCATAAAGAGGCTGATATATTAGCAGCATAACCGGAGCTGAACACAACCACAACTTACACCAAGTTAAGTACAGGTTGCATCCTCTTGCTCTTGTCTGCAAGACTAATTGATTTTAGTCACTCATTTCTAAGAAACAAACACAAGTGATACATGTTTCCCATAAATTCAACATGAAGCATCTACCACTTTAAGCCTACTTCACCTTGCTGGAGGTTAAACATTCTGGTAGTACAAACCCTGCACGGATAAACTCGCTGCCTTGCTCCTTCACAGAAGGCCACCCATCCTGCCTCAGCCCCAGTAAGGAGGAGCAGCAGAAGGGCTGAGCCTGAAGGACCTGAGGTTTCATGGTTCCCACTACTGCTGCCTGCAGATGCTCTCAGACCTGCAGAAGCTGCTGCTGTTGCCTCATAGCCCTCCAGATGCAGACAGTACATGTTAATAGCACCACATACTGCCAAGTAGCAACCAGACTGACTTTCATAGTTAGCAAATCCGAAATTTTACTTCCTGTTACTTGCTTTGTCTTCCAAGAAATTAATTGTGGCCCTCTAGAAGAGAAGGAAGCAAATTATCTACAGGTAACATCTAGGAGTATCAGTACTTAACTGAAACATCACACAATGCATCTTCTTTTTGACTTTTGTTCCTTTTTTTTTCCCCCTTATCTATGGCTGGAGTATTATTAATGTAATGCAGTTGAAAGATAAGACAAATGTTAACTACTCTCCTAACAAGCTAAAAGCACATTTGGAATTTACAATAACGTTTTAGACAGTTTCTATCTGCAGAGAATAAAATACAGCCTAGAATGATCACATTATCCTTTTGCCTACAAGTTTTATTGGCTTAAATGCAAGCTGTTGTCCAGATTAGCCTAACTACTTACAAACCTTTTACATGTCATTCTCAACTGTGAAACGATCATACTCAGTCATCAAACGTGTTGTAAGTTCTTTTAGCAACTAATTTTGAATAATACTGTTTAAATGACCTATTTACAGCTTCATAATAAAGCATCCGATTTCGTGTTACTATGCTCAGCAGACTCACATAAAAATATTAAAAGTAACAACACTGTAAAATTTTTATAAAATAATTTATGAGAACTAAGAGCACTTTGTGGACACCACCGTGATACCTAATTATCATTCACAGAAGTAACAACACATGCGTTTCTAAAGAAAAACCAAGCTACCAGTACTTTTTAAGTTCTAGACAAGATCATTATGAAGCCCAAATTATCAATTTTAACAACTGCCGACTAAAACCAGAAGCGACTAGAAAAAAAAGCCTTGCGACACAAGGCGATGAGAAGTCGTGACGGGGCTGTCACCCCTGGGCTGAGCTCTGTGTTCACGGCTGGCATCACCTACAGCAACAATAACCAGAAGGAAATCCAAGAGCCCTTCTGACAGTCACGGACTGACAAGCGAAACCGATTAACGTGGACAGAAGTTGCATTTACCTCCGCCGGCGAACCCCCCGGCTGCAGCAGCCGAAGCTACACCTGTTGAACATCGCTGGCGATTAACGCCACAGCAGAGAACAGCAAGTCTACGAGAGTGCTCATCTGCGGCCGGGATTCCCTTGTAAAGAGAACCCTCTCCGTGGCACAGGGCGGGGAGCATGAACCGTTTAACAACGCCAGCACCGCAGACACACCTTTATGTGGCGATCAACGCCGAAACAACGCAAGGAGACACAGAAACACCAACGCCTCGAGGGCTCGCGGGTCACCAATCCCCGAAGGAAGAACACAAGTAAGTGAAACCAAACCGAGGAGCCCAAAACCCCAGCAGGGGCCGAGGCGCTCCCCCCAGCCCCGCACCGCGCGCTCGGCCCCGGCCCCGGCCCCGCTCAGTGCAGCAGCGCGGGGCAGCCC